AGGCAAAAGTCCACTTTGTAAAACTATACAAAACATATAATAAAAGGTTAAATAATGAAAGTGACATTAAACATGTTAAAAATTGGTTTTTAACATAAAACAATACTGTAATGTGCGCCTTACTGTAATCCATGGTAGTTTCCCTTCTCTTTGCTGCTCTTCCTTTTAAATCCTTCTCTCTTCTCATACTTGGGGAGAACTTCCCTTTTGCAGCTGAGTGCCTCTTCCTGTAGTGCTGGCTCAGGTTGCAAACCTACACACAGACACCAAGTATCCATTCCTGAGACAAGGCAGTCTGCTGCAAAACAGAAGTTCTGCCCAGCATGAGAACAGATACAGATTTAAAAGGAAGAGCAGCAAAGAGAAGGGAAACTACCATGGATTACAGTAAGGCGCACATTACAGTATTGTTTTATGTTAAAAAATCTGAGGGTTTAATGTCACTTTAAATGTCACAGGTCGGCTCAGTAGATCGGGAAGTAAGCGAACACATACCGTCGCTCGCTCACTTCTCGATCTATCCCTGCAGGGAGCCGTGACTGTCACTCACGGTTCCCTGCAGGGATTTCTCCCCTGTCCGATCCTCCAGCGCTGACTGGCGGAACGAACGAGGGAGGGGGCGGCCACAGCTGGCTCTGCCTCTGGATAGGCAGAGCCAGCTGTGAAACCCGCAGCTGGGTGGATCTCGACAGCGATGTCGGGATCCGTTCCTGCTGCGGCGTCTCAGTATTCCGCGAGCTGTGGCTCGTGGTATACTGAGCTTTGGGTCACAGGAGAATGCTAGTTTGCGTTCTCCCGTGACCCTGGGGAGAACTATGGGGAAAAGCCCTGACCCCATAGTTCTCCTTTAACTTACACCTGGTTCCCAAACACACTTCTTGTCCTTAGGTGACTACGCTCACTCACTGTACTGTAATCTATGGAAAGGAGCACATGTCACCCTAGGATAGGACTATGGAAAACTTCCCCCTCTCCTCCTAGAGGGACAGACTTCTGCTGTTCTCAGAGATAACTGGAAAGCAGTGTAACTGATAACTTCCCAAACTCTGTTTGTGCTGCAGTTCTATCAGCTGACAAGATTTCTGGTAAGATCAACAGGTATCAAACAGATAAAACAAAAATGTTTCAATGGTAAATTTAACAGACCCAAAGGGACCAAATAAGAAAAGTTAAATGATAGGGTTTATATATCCCTTATCTTTAATGTTAAAATCAGAGCAATGAGCATGTGCAAAATGCAGTATTCAGACTTCACTTTACTGAATTCACTTAAAAGAAAGGCAAAAGTCCACTTTGTAAAACTATACAAAACATATAATAAAAGGTTAAATAATGAAAGTGACATTAAACATGTTAAAAATTGGTTTTTAACATAAAACAATACTGTAATGTGCGCCTTACTGTAATCCATGGTAGTTTCCCTTCTCTTTGCTGCTCTTCCTTTTAAATCCTTCTCTCTTCTCATACTTGGGGAGAACTTCCCTTTTGCAGCTGAGTGCCTCTTCCTGTAGTGCTGGCTCAGGTTGCAAACCTACACACAGACACCAAGTATCCATTCCTGAGACAAGGCAGTCTGCTGCAAAACAGAAGTTCTGCCCAGCATGAGAACAGATACAGATTTAAAAGGAAGAGCAGCAAAGAGAAGGGAAACTACCATGGATTACAGTAAGGCGCACATTACAGTATTGTTTTATGTTAAAAATTCTGAGGGTTTAATGTCACTTTAAATGAGCTTCATACTGAGGCTTGGCTGTGATTAAGATGATAACTATTTTGGGAATGCCTTTGTTCAGTAGATGCCAACTTAGTATATATGTTTTTCTTGTTTATTGAGAGACACAGGAATGTAGTAATTCTTAGCCATTTGTGTTTATACTGCCGCCTACAGGAGGATTTGGACACTGACAACATAACCGTGACTAGCCTGGTATAACACCTTCCACTCCCAGCGTGTTTTGGTTTTTGCGAGTATACGGAGAGGATTATTATCTTTTCCTTTAGTAAAGAAAGTTTGACCTTCTTTTTTACTAGCAATTTTTTTTTCTTTTTTCACATTATTTTTGCACACTCAAATGTATGTTTCTACACTCTGCTTGAGCTGGCCTCTTTATGCAGCTAACCAGATTGGCAAATACTCAACAATAGCTTTGGTGGTCTTACCCAGACCCTGTTAGACTTAACGATTGTGGGGCCTGCCTGGAATGGCACCTACAGGTATTAGGCTCTGCTTGTGGTGCATTCCAGACCTTTGTGTACTGTTAGTTAGCCGCAGAGCCCTTTTATTGGGTCCAGAGCTGTGGACTTGTTAATGAGTAGGGCATGTGGGCCAAGCTCCAGGAGCTACTTCATTTATCTGAACCATTGGGTGCCATTATTACAACCCTTTTTACCATTGGAAACTGTTGTGTCACTGGGTGGAGTGTTGCGGGTGCGTACTGCGTGCTCTTTTCCTGCCAGTCAGAATGAGGTGCACCTTCTCGCTATGGCTCCTCATCACAAGAGACAGAAATTTTCACCGTGGTTAGTTCTTGCTGCCACCTTCAGTGACCTGGTCACCTCTGGCCATGTGAACCTCTCCTACTTCCAGCAGTTGGTTTGTAAATGCTCAAGGGTTTTACAGTTTTATTAGAGCTAAGTTGTTCTCATTTGTGATGCGTCATAACAGATCCCACTGAATTACGCCTCCCCAGCTCACGATCCACTAACAATTCTGGGGAATTCTGCTGTGTTCCCTCTCAAGGACCTGACACAGACAGCCTGGTACACTGTTTCCAGTGTGAGTCTCTACATTCCTTTTGACTTCTCCTTGGCTCTGTCAGGTGTGGCCCCTTCTTTGGTTTTAACCTGGGAGAGTTCTACCGGGGTTAGGAAATAAGCATGCCTCAACTCCTTCTCCTGCAGAATTCTTCTAAAATCTACTTTCCAAAGTGGGGAGGACTTATGTTAGCCTTTGCCGACATTTGGATAGGCAGCATCTCGGATCCGTGATGGATATCTGCCCCATCATGGATATCAAGGCTCCGAATGTCTGGCTTAATTCAGTCTCAGACGTTCTGTTTACAAACCACCAGGTCTGTTAAAGCCCTTCCTTCGTTAGAAAGACTTTCATGCCTCCTGGAATATTCTGCTGGGAAACCTTGGGTCCTGCCATTCATGTAGATGTTACTTTGATACGTACCACCAACCTAAACATTGTTGCTAAGCAAGTACACCCCTTCATGGAAATGGTATTCCCTGATGGCAGTGGTCTCTTTCAGCAGGATAATGCACCCTGCCACACTGCAAAAATGGTTCAAGAATGGCTTGAGGAACACAATGACGAGTCTGAGATGTTGACTTGGCCTCCAAATTATCCATGTCCAAATCTAGTCAAGAATCTGTGGGATGTGTTGGAAAAACAAGTCTGATCCATGGAGGGCTCACCTTGCAACTTACAGGACTTAAAGGATCTGCCACTGATGGCTCGGTGCCAGATACCACAGCATACCTTCAGAGGTCTAAAGGAGTCCATGCCTTTTAGGGGTCAGGGTTGTTTTGGTGGCAAAAGGGGACCTATTTAATATTAGGTGGGTGGTCATATGTTATGGCTGATTGATGTATATTAGTGCATGTCACTGGGGAAAAAAATCTAATGAGCTCTTAACTTTCTGTTTGAGCTGACAACACTGTCCCTCTGCTTCACTTAAATTCCAAACATTGCTGTCAGCCCTGCCTTCCTGGACTAAAAACCCTACCTGTTCCTGCCCCTTTCTGTCCCTTGGCACATGCATACATTAATATCTTTCCCAGCAAAACAATGCTGCTGCTTTTACTCTTTGTGTAGGAAAAGGGCTCTTAGGAGGTGTAGTTCTAGGGGTGTGCCTTTGTCATCAGAAACTGAGTAGAGGAGTAGATGTTTTCCCAATAATAGTAGATGAGGAGATATTCGCTCATCCTTGTTTGTATTGGTACCTGTCACTGTCAGCCATTCTGCTCCCACAGCAAGAAGCATGACACGGATGGGTCAGTAAAGGGAAGGTTCAGGCACGTCTTCCAGAAAATGTGTAACCTGTTGTAAAATTTGTCAGCAAAATCGATCCCCTCTGATATCTGAAGTAGACTTCTATTCCCCCTGTGTTGTACCTATCATCAATGGTTTGAGAATCATAACAAGCGTCAGATCAGGGGCAGACCACAAAATCCTTGATAACAAATGTTTCTTTCATACCAAGCTTGGAATTTTTCATCTTTTTTTCTGATAAATGTATTTCTCCATTATGAAAAGAATACCACACTGGGGTTTAAACCAGTCCCTATATTGTCTCTTAGCATCATATATACCGTATGTTGGAGATAGTGAATAAACCGCAGGAAGCAACATCTCTAATTGACACTGTTAATTCATCTCTTTGTAAGTGTTTTCATGCCTTTACCCCCCGAGAGACTTCCCCTTCCTCCCATTAATGGGACGTCTAATCAGAGTCTCTGAAGGAAAATTATTCCTACAGATTTTCCCTTACATTCTCCAATAATGCACAATACTGAGGTTTCCAAATTAAGAACCCCAACAATTGTATCTATGCCACAATAGACTAAACCTTGGTCCGATCAAGGACACATGACATTCACCTGTTCTGTTGCTGCCCCAATCAGAACACATGAGATGGCAGCAAAGTGGACAAGTGATGACTCTTGCCCTGCATCTTTTGGTCCAGCAACACAATCCGTCAAGGGATGCTGTGTGTATGGAGTCTGTATGCTCTCTCTCGGATAGTTTTGGGTTTCTTCTCACAACCCAGGAATAAAGGGCCCTATGTCATTTTATTTTTTGCTTCTGAAAACGTCCATCAACAATACCCAGGGGCTGTGTAAGTATTGTATTTAACACTTGATTTTACAATAGTTTAATCTGATGTGCTAGGGACAACCACGGCAATAACACCTTTTTTAGGCTAATGTTGTTTTAATCAGTGTCTGCATTCACTGAGCAGTGCCTTGTCTTTTTCTTGTTTTCCTCCCAGGTCACACGGGCCGCCTATTAAAATCTTTGCTTGCCATCAGCCTCATTTTCCTGTGTTCACAACTCATCTTCCAGCTTTGCCTCCATATGGTGCCTGAACTGAATGATCTACTGGGCTACAATTGTACGTACTGGGCACATAAGATTTATATAACCGCATTTATTTGATAATTGATTATATATGCACATCTTAAAAAAACGGGGTGCTTATATTTAACACAGAGGTCTTTGGTCCATGTTTCCTCAGACCAGTCGGGTAAACACACATAAGTATAAGTGAATGGTCTTACTGTAGTTCTGTTCAGCCTGTCATATAACCCAGAAGCCCATGCTGAACAGCACAGTCAAATCCTGGACCTCCAATGCAGTCATCTAGAACTGCTTGGTCAAGCGCACACCTCCAGACTGCTGATTGAAGGCACAGTAGCACAATGAGGAGTCCTCTTTGTGCTCCTCCCTTCTATAAGGAAGTTCCCTGTGGCAGCACTGTGCATTGCAGTAAAGCCTGATTGGCCCATCGTAATGACCCTACCTCTGAGAAAGAATATCCTACCAAGAAAAATGCTAGAAAATCTAATGTTGGTACTTCTACTAGTTGCTTTATAAATCGCATAATGATTGTTAAAGAATACATAAGTGCAATGATTGGTGTTTATTATATATGTGTCTGTGTACTTATCATTTATTTATTGTTTTACCCCATACCCATCATGTTGCTTTGTTCTTGTTTAGCACAAAAAGGAAATGAATACCGGGCAACTCCAAATCCCCTTTCATAACCCTGATACTTTCCCCTATCCTGGTCTAAGCCCTTCCTCCAAACCTGTTGCTAATTATGCAGTTTCTTGTTACGCTGTGATGTTAAATAATATATTTTGTTTTGCTGTTCAGGTAGTGGTTGGGAAGTTCTGGTTCGACATGTTGGAGTATCTCGGTAAGTCTCGTTTGCTTATCCGCAAAGGTTTTGAAATGCAACAAATTTGTAGACGTCGCTGTCTTAAATTCCACTTTCCCCGGTGAATTTGTGAAAAAGAAATTACCCCCTGCAATCTGGCCCCTCCCCGCTATACTTGCCTTAGTGTGAACGCTCCTTCTCCACTGGTGCGGGTGTACTATCTGTACCCCATACCGCTGTGTAGCGGAGCCCTGCGCTCTGAATTTTGAATTTCACTTGCAAATGGTGAGCACTCATGGGTCAGCGTGGTCACCTGACTGGACTGACCAATGAGATTTGCTTCTTATTGGTCAGAGCTCTTAGATGACCGCGCTGACCAATGAGTGCTCACCATTTGCTAGTGAAATTCAAAATTCAGAGCACAGGACTGCGCAACACACCGGTATGGGGTACAGATAGTGCACCGGCGGAGGGAAAGGAGCGTTTGCCCAAAGGTAAGTACAGCAAGGGGGAGAGGGGGCCAGATTGGTAAATCCATTTTCCCAAATTTACCTGAGAAAGTGGAATTACCCTTTAAAGTGAATCTGGCTTTACCTATACAGGGCAATCCAACATGTATACTTTATTGCCACCCCCAGCAGCTTATTTATACACACTTTCCCTTAGCCCCCCAGCTGCTGCTTTTACTGCCAGAAGTTTAGAGAAAAATCCGGTACCTCCGAGTATGGAGAGCATATGACTCAATCCCATTGGCAATTGGCTTGGCACTCGGCCACTCAGGCACCAGTGCCTTTAGATGGAGGGTGGGTAGAGAGACCTCAGCACTGTGTAAGCTCCAACTGGGATCATCTTCGAGCTTACACAGTGCTTCTTCTTCTCACTTTCATTGATGAGGTGGCAAGGCAAGTCTTGTCTTGCATACCCCATTCATCACCAGACAGACATTGGAGTGCTCAGTGAGAAAATCGTATCTTGTAAACCTTCTTGGAAAAGGTGTTTCTCCGCGGCATTGCAAAGTGTCAAACCTCAGACCTGGTATTTTACCATCACATGCTGTTTTTTTTTGTGTGTTCTGGCATTAGATTAGGTTCTTTTCCAAGACCATGTAAACCAGCTCCTCCACAGCACAATAAACATTGGGTTCAGGTCCCATGCTCTGTATTTGCTCTAGATCAGGGGTGTCAAAATCAATTTAATCGTGGGCCGCATCAACATTATGGTTGCCCTCAAAGGTATCTGTAAAACTATATAAATGTATCTAATCTTTATCATAATTGCCTCTGCATTCGATTATCACTGGTTTTAGTAATAACTTAATACCTAGATCTGAAATTAGAAGTCTAGGAAATGGCCTGGTGGGCCGGATTTGCCCCCTGGGCCTTGAGTTTGACACATGTGCTCTAGATGCCCTAGGGAGATAATATTATGTGTAATCATCATGTATTTGTATTTTCCCTGCTGGGCCCTGACTGAAATATCCTTTTGGATTCCCCTCAGGTTAGACATCTACGACATCCCCAACACCGCGCGGCTGGTGACTCCGGATTTAGGCATGTTCTTGCTATCCGCTGTATGTCTGGGATTGTGCAACCGCTTGGTGCCCCGGCGAACTTCTCCATCGCCACGCGGGAGAGTCAACAGGTCAACAGATGTGACGGAACAGGTGGGCACTGTGTAACTGGATGGAGGACAAGATCAACCCTTGGCACTGGCGTTGTTGATTTGTGTCTCTAACGCCCGCTCACTTCCTCTAACCTCGCTTCTCTCCAAAGTTTTTTTTTTTCTACCAACCTTTCCATACTATGTAATTATATACACCCCCGGGTCCTGATTTATTAAACATCTTGTCTAGGCCAAGATCGGATTCTGCGTGGGATTACGCAAAGGGCAGGAGCAGGCCGCATTGAGTAACAGAGCTGTTGAGTTTAGCTGCCCCTTTGCAGTTCTATTTATTTTCATGTCATTTTTCATTTTCTGCAGCTCTCTCCTCTTCTCCCCCCTCCTCTTGCTTCCTTTCCCCTCTTTTTTTTTTTTTCCATACTCCCCACCCACTGTGAGTGCTGAAATGTCCGGCAAAGCTCCCAGGTTTGTTTTGTTTGCCCAAACTTTTTATTTACATTCATGCTGGCTGAGCAAGCCGGGCATTACCAGCTGTGCCAGTCATGTAACCTTCCTAGATGTTATTTAACTGTTTGCTTTGACAGCTCTGTGCTTGCTGATGTTTCAGAGTTCTTAACTCTTTCCTTTTGTTTACAGCGCAGGAAGGAGCTAATTAAATTAATGCAGAGCTTGACATTTTGGCCGTTTTATATTATCAGTCTTATTTAAAGAAGAAATTCAGGTGTTCCTAGGCATGGAAACCTTATACCGGTTCCCCCATCTCCCTCCTGTTATACCCAAAATCAGATTTCAGATGCAATGTGATCATGCTCTACACTGTGCGGCTTACCTCTGTGCTGGCCAGTGTTTCCATCCATTTTTGCCTGAGGTGCTTGTGCTCTAGTGCTAAGGTGTAACTACAAGCTCTATAGATCTACATGGGAGAGCCCAACTCAGCTGCTGTCCCATTCATCATCATCAAGCCCATAATCATGTCTCTGTCCTCCCACATTCCACTAGGTAATAGGAGTATTGAAATCCATAGCACCTACAATTCCCATACATAATTGTGATCACAACTGTGGAAATTTGGATCTACTTTTGTCTCTGAGCACACATTCTGCAGTGGCTAGTGTGGTCATGAGTATAACCATGTATTGAGGGGAGGCGGGGGGGGGGCA